CCTCGCGTTCTGCCTCCTCAAAGGGTCTTGAGCTCGTTGATGTTGTCGCACTAACGGGTCAGGTGGGATATCATCTTCTAAGATGGGCATATCTTCATCGGGTTGGGGTGGGTTTCGTCGGGCCTCTCGAGCTCCTCCAGCTATAGCTGCGGCCGCCGGTGCTGGTGGTGGCTGCTCTAGTCGACCAACTCGATCCCCAAACTCCTGCCTCATCGTCCTCATCTCTTCTCGCATTGCCGTGAGCATTTGCATCAGTGCTTCTTGGGGAACATGATCCTCAGCCATGTTGTCTCGAGGTTGTTCCTGTACTCACAATGAAACAAAAGGAATCACGGTACCTTGGGGCCGAGAGACTTAAAGGAAACAATAAGGTAAAAGGAAAATTTGCGATTGGCAAGACGCGTGAAGGTTGTTAAAAAAAGGAAATAATACAATTGGAGAAATGGAAAACTTCTAACTCGCTTCTTCTCTTTTTTTTTTTGACTTAAACTTTTGGGACTCTAGCTAGAACTCGAAACAAAGGACAGACTACTAACCAAAACAAAGATCAAAGACAATCAAACAATGGAGAAAACGATTAACTCAAACGGATACAATTCTCGCTAGTCTAGAACCCTAAACTTGTGAGACAAGAATCCCAACGGCTAATTTTTTTTTTTTCTTTTTAACAACTATAGGACTCAGAATAATGAATCAACCACTAGATCACACGCAGCAACAAAGGGAACCAGTTGAATGATGCGAATGATTAGCAATTTAGAACAAGCAAAGGCAATCTATCTAATTTTTTTTTGATAAGATAAGCAAACAACAACTAATACGGACAAACTAGAGATGGATAGATATCACCTGATGGCAGAACCTTTCGGCTCTGATACCAAAATGATGTATGCCTCGGGGTGGAGACACGCAATGAACCGATGGAGATCTAACAAGCTGGCCTTCGCTCTCTCTTGTTGGATCGGATCAGGGGAAGTGAGGGTGGATCGATGGCACCACAGAGAGGATGGATGGCTCTCTGATACAGAAACACTAACCTTTGGGTGGAATCACACACACACAAAGGTAAGCAACTCTTCTCAAGCAAGAGCTTCAAAGAAAACGGCGTTATTTTATTGATAAGCAAAAAGGTGTCGAACTACAAAGCTGCAAGGGGACTTTATAAACAGTCCATCAGCCTGAACCTTCTAGGGTTCGACTCAAATGAAAAGAAAAGACTCAAAAACCACAGGACTTGCAAAAGAAACAAAAGAAAACGGCAAAGAAAACAAGTAAACAGCGAGTTGTCTCATTTGGACACAAATAAGGAAAGTTCTACTTAAATGAAATAAAAAGAAAATAAACTCTTAAGCCTTGGCCGAGACTTGATCTCAGGTATCTCTGGATTCTCGTGGCTCTTAGTCACCACTGAGCTGGTCGTCTGTTCCTGCACAAAACTCATAAACAAGGTTTACCTGTTGTGCACGCAAAAGAGGCCATGGAAGAAGTGAACTGCTCTTGACGTGTGCTGGGGCGATCTTCAGGTGGTCTTCTGCGGCCTTGGTAGTGTTGATGATGCTTGTTTCAAGTGCATGAATCCTTCCCTTGGCAGCCTCTTCCTCAGCTAGCGTCTCTTGTGCAAGCTCCAGTTGAGCGCTATCGGCTAAGTGGTTGATGTTGCTTGTCTTGGACTCTTGAGTGATGGTCTCCCTGGGCTTTGTGATGGGCTCGGCTCCTGGACCTGTCAAGAGAGATTTCATACCTGTTTCCTCATAAGGCCGTGGCCGGTTCGGTTGAGTTTGGGCCGCGTCCTCTACTTGTTCCTCCTCGGACGCTTGTATGAAACTTGATACGGCTAAGTTGATCTTTTCACGCAGGCTCCTGGTTCTAGATCGAGTCATGGGACCTGGAAGGAGTGTGGGGATACTGGGATCCTCATTAGAGTGCTCGATGACCTCATCAAGTCTCCACATCTCTTTAAACTTGATCCTTGCTAGTGCCTTGGTGAGTATGTCTGCCTTCTGCTCCATGTCTGGTATATGCTAAACTTCAATCTGCCCATTCTCCACACAGTCTCTGATGAAATGGTATCTATAGAGTATGTGCTTACTCCTTCCATGAAACACAGGGTTCTTGGTAAAAGCTATGGCTGAATTGTTGTCAACTCGAATTATAACATTTTCATTGTCTATACTTAGTATCTCCTTCAACAACTCTTGAAACCATATAGCCTGATTTGCTGCCTCTGTAGCTGCTATAAACTCAGGTTCATACAAATACAATGCGACGATGGATTGCTTTTGGGAAGTCCAAGTGATTGGCGATAAGACAAAGGTAGAATACATGACCTGTAGTGCTTCTTCCATCATCAACATTGATATTTTGACTACTATCACTATATCCTATGATCTTGCTTGAACCACCTCTCTTGAAATGTAATCCCAGGTTAGTAGTTCCTCTAACATATCTCAGTATGCGCTTAATGGCTTACCCATGAGACTCCCTTGGACTCTGCATATACCGACTTAGAACTCTTACTGCAAATAACAAGTCTTGTCTGGTCTTGTACCTTAAGCATCCTATAGTTCTCCTGTACCGTGTAGCATCGATCTCTGCTTCATCCTCTGCTTTTGAGATTTTTAAATTTGCCTCTATTGGTACATGAGATAAGTTACATGTATCCATCTTAGTAACAACAAAAATTCCTTGAGCATAAATGTTAACTCCATCTGCTCCTTGAATTACTCTAATACCAAGATAATATGTCAATTTTCCAAGATCTGACATTTCAAACCAGTTTCACATATCTTTCTTTAATTGTTTTATGATCTGTTGTGAAGTTCCTGTCACAAACAAATCATCAACATAGATTGCGACAATCAGGGCGTCCTCCTTGTTCTTCTTGTCATACACTGATGGCTCCTTTAAGCACCTTTTAAAGTTCATTTCCTTTAGAACTTGATCCAGCTTAATGTTTCATGCTCTAGGAGCTTGCCGTAGACCATATAATGCTTTATGAAGCTTGTATACTGATGGTGGTGTGGTGACTTGATGTGTGTCGAGGGTTGTCAAGTTTTACCCTAAATGAAATCAATAGCCGCAAGTGCACAGCTGATCAATTGTAGTACTTAGGGATCGAATCCACAGGGAATGAGGATCTTTTCCTACAAAAAGCCTTTGAAATAAGATTAAAGTAAGGAAGTCTAGAACAAAAACGGTTTAGTGGGGGTTTGGTAGTGTGTTTGAAATGTAAAAACGAAATATTAAAAGAGAATACGAGAATTAAATGACGTAATAACTAAACTTAATGAAAATGACTAAAAATGATAAAAACGGATATTCTAATGCTTAAATGAAAATGAACTAAAAAGGAAAGGCAATATTGAACTAGAGCTGAAAGAAAATCGGTGTAAATCAATAGGAAAGAAGGCGTTGGGCTTCAGGGAACTTTTCTCAGGGGTACGAACGATTCAAAACATTGCTAGAGAGTAAAATTGATAAGATCTTAGCTTAAACTTTTCGAACTGGAGTCACGGACGTATGAATACGCCACTGTCGTGATCATAGACAACTATCTCTCTCAACCCTTACTAGTAGGTTTCCACTCTGGCCCTGGAAGAGAAGAGATGCATTATGTTTAAGACTCGTCCTAATTCACAAATCGCCCATAGGTAGGTTTCCACTCCTATATTTGTTTTGCTCTCCCAAACTAGATCTGATACCTGATGAACACTTTTGTGTCACCAAGCATCTGGATCAGATTGTAGTTCATGACGCTACTCTCATGCAGTAAAAACGAATTCAGAAGAAAAAGTTCTAAGATTCGGCTCAAAAGCTCATGAAATCCTCATCGAACATATAAATCCCCATCGAAAATCCCTTAATCCCAACAATAAAACTACTCAGACATGATGAACGAAATCAAAGACATAGTATTAATAAGTAGAATAGAAACCGAAATTGAAAAAGAAAGAACAAGGGTTCAAGAGAACAAATCTCTCTCTCCCTAAAACCTAAAACTTAAAAGTATTCTAAAACAATAAGAAAGATAGAAGATGATCGATTAGGGTTCCTAAGACATGTATTTATAGTGCTCAAGACCTCTCTAGACGTCACTTAGGGTTTCTCCAAATGAGGGAATCATTGTGGGCTTCAGAAATGGGCTTTTGGGCTCGGAGGTTGATGGCCGCGGTCGGGAGTGCTCTGACCGCGGCGAATGAGTGGTTTGCCGCGGTCGGGATGCTTCTGACCGCGGGAAATTGCTTGTTGGCCGCGGGTGAAAGTGCTTGCCGGCTGGTTTACGGGACATCTTGCTCTTCGCGTATCTTTTGATTGAACCGTTGGATTGCCAAGCTGTAAAGTGCACTGGAAAGCTGATACTTCCATCTTTAAGGTCTCCAAATTTGAGCTGGATCAAACGGTGAGAAGGCCTTCAATCAAGGGTGAACTTCTGACGGTTTGACTCTGAGCTGAAATCTGGTTTTCTATCCATTTTGTTAAGCTTTTCCCTAAGTTATCTGAAAAGAGTCTTGGAACTACAAATACTAGAAAAACGTAATAAAAGTACTTAAAAGAAATTGAAAACATAGAAAAAGTATTTCAAAACAATCCATAAAAGTGGTCAAAATACGGTGTTATCATATACTCAATCTTCTTCTCCTTTCTTCACAAAACCTTTAAGTTGACTTACATAGACTAACTCATTCAAATCTCTATTTAAGAAAGCTGTTTTGACGTTCAGGTGATGTATCTCCCAACCGTTTGTTGCCGCAAGGGCTATTAGAAGCCGTATAGTCTCGATTCGTGGAACTGGAGCAAACACATCATGGATATCTATAAGGATTAGGAAATCGCAAACCTTATCTAAACACATAAATATATCTAAATCTTATTTGTAAATTCCATTATTATCTCTTAAGCAACTTTTTAATGAGATAACTTGCTCGCCAAGTCTTGTAACTATCCAACACAGCATATACGTAGAATCAAGACTTAAAAACATTTATCATATATCACAGGGGAGAATCATAAGATCGAAAGCAGAAAAGTACACAGTTGCATACATCACCTTGTTTGAGAACCTGATAAAAAAAAAAAAAATACTCTTGTCTCTGCACTACAAGGAGATTCCAGATTATGAAACACTTAGTATAACACATGGGAGAATCAAGAGATCGAAAGCAGCAACTTAAACAGAAGATGAATGCAACCAAGAAGTCATTGCGAAATATGAAGATAGTGACTGTGATCTTTTGACTACAATCAAACCCTCGAGATGCTTATATGTGAGTAACTGTGATCTCTAGGCTGTTTCAGGAAAGCCAAGAAGATAGCATGTTAATCATACGAACAACCAGTTTTATATATCAGCTTTCCAATTTAAAAGCTGGTTTACTATGCAAGTTAATTTTGACCTGAAACACTGTTCTGTAGAAAACATATTATTTTGGGGACCTGTATCGACATCAGCATACTCAGCATATGAGCAAAAGAGCAAGGCATGGCTGGTTCGTTTCTGCCAACATCTTAAAGGAGGAAAAAAAAAACAGAATACTGTATAATCTAAAAACACTGGTTAAACAAAAGCATATCAAGCAGATTTAAGAGACACTAACCTTGGTGAAAGTCATGGATGCCCTTTGTTTCACTACCCCAAATAGCATAGTCCTCAAAAAGATAGCATCAGTGGCTGAATCAGTGGAAGCCGTAGGTTCATCTGTCACCAATATTCTGTTTCTCTTCAACAAAACTCATCTAAGAAAGAACAGATGTCTCTGTTTCACGCTCCAGTTCTCTCCTTCATCATTCACTTCTCGTACAACAAAAGATAAACAAAAGTGAGTTGACACTTCTCGAGTGCCCTGTACACAAAACAAATGGTTCATGAGAGAGGTTTAAAATCTTTGATATAGAATCTCATTTGTGCTTTATATTCCAGTACCTTCCGTATTTCATCGTCGTAATTGGTCCTTAATTATGCAACCACAGAAAAGAATTGAAAGAAAATTTGATCCAATTATTCTGAATTTTGAGAGTGTGATCAAATTTCGATGGAAGGCGTTGTTTCTGGTGACAAATAATATATGGTAACAAATAATAGGCTAAGGGGTTCTGTTTGAGAAAGTTGAGGAATGTAATGGGCCAAGAGCAGACAAGCTCTAACCGGGTGGGTTGGATAGAGTCACAACCAAATGCAAATTCACTTGGGATGTGAGGACAGTCCAGTTTCTTATTGGGCTTGAATAAAAGAACTCTTTATTAAGTGAGATTAGTAATCAATTTTTGGGTTATTAATACAATATGTTAGAATTTGTAATATAATTATTCACGCAATTAATAAAGAAACTTTAGAACTGGTGTTTACCTCTATTTACGATTTTTCTTTGATTTTTGATCTTTTTCAAAATTCAGTTCACTCTTATTCATAACAGAAGGAAATGGCCATATTTTCAGAGATTAGGCTAATGACTCATTGGATTGCTAGTTTTTTTAGCTACCTTACTGCTACGAGGATGAAGGTCCTGCTCTACTCAGCCATCTTGTTATTATTGTTTCTGCATTCTTCCCAGGGCCTGCTTAGAGGAGGTGCCAAGAGTGCAAATACACTAGGACATTTTTGTGAATTTCTTTAGTAATTAGGGCCCTACTTTTGTAAAAAAAATTTTAAAAAATGCTCAAACTAAAAATACGTAAGCAACATTTTAAAAAATTACTAATTGTGCATAGGGACCAACTTTTGTTTGAGTCGGACCTGGTTCTTCCTCATCTTCTTCTCATCCTCTGAAAATATTTAACACCGTAACATTATATGAAAGAAGAACCATATATGATATATCATCAAAAATCAGAAGGATCTAAAAGAAAGGTCAATATATCTATATCTGGAAAGCCTCTTGACCAGTTTCTTGTACAAACCAAAGCTTGAATATTAGTCGGTAATAAAGAGATTCTATATTTGTTAAGAACTCTACTTCCTATACTAAAAGAAGATTCTGAGGCTACTGTTGTTATTGGGATACTTAGAACATCAAATGGCATACATGACAACTCCTTAAAACGAGAAGAGTTATCCCTCCATTATGTTAACACATCCATCTCTTTAAATGCAACCATATCCATTACAGGTTCGTCCAAATATATGTCAAGAGCAGACTTTCCACTACCACCTCAAAAAAGAATATGTGAATGGATCCAAAACATCAAATACCGAAATATAAAAGAGTTGGCCTCAACCCTAATAGATTACCCAAATGCCCAAACCTAATTCAATAGCTTTGACACTATCACAATTACATAACATCTCTGACAAATTTGTAGATCTGAGCTAAGTCGATATAAATTTTGTCCACCAGCTCACCGATTTAAACCCGGCGACCGTATAAGCTTCGCCGAGGGGCATGGTATAAAATTTGTGGTAAACATGTGCATGCACATCATTTTTTCTTCTTTCGGGTCAGGAGAACCGGTGCCAAGATGAACCGATTCCAATAACTCTTTTTTTGTTTCCTCTGTTTTCTGCCAAATTAATCAAAAATTGTCCAAATAAAATCTTCGGGTTTATTTACGGCAGCAGCACGCCGCTGAGGATGCTCTAACCATTTCCCGACGATCTCCGATCTCAATTGAAATCTCAGAGACGATCCCAATCTATATCATCACCGAAATCCTTTTGAGATTGCCGGCGTAGTCTTTCGGGAAATGTCGCTGTGTATCCAAGTTTTGGGCTTCATTACTTTACCGTAGAGATTTCACAGAGCTGTTCTTAACCAGGTCTTGTGCTCGTCCACAAATGTTGATCTCTTGCGATGATATTGGTGAGTTATTCTTTTTCTCCACACCTCAGGCCCCGAATTCGTCTCTTGTAGCCGCCAATTTTCATATGAAGTTCCCCTTTATTGTTCGTTCCTCTGAAATTCTCGGTCCTGTTCACGGTTTTGTCTGTCTAACAAATCTCCGGAAATACAAAAAACAGTGCCGATGATGTATAACCCTAGCACGGGACAATCCTTATCTTTACCAAACGTGAAGACGAGGAGTGTTCTGGTGAAGAGTTTTCTTGGATTTGACCCGATCGACGTACAATTCAAGCTATTGTCCATGACCTCGAGGGACTGAGGTATAGTTTGCTTTGATGTTAGGTCTGAGAAGTTCAGCTTTGTTAACAAAGCTGAGGAAATGGTACTATGGAGTGATTCAACTCTTGTAAATTACAAAGGTAGATTAGGTGCTCTTTTGTTAGATGCAGACCATGGGATTGGAGAAGTTACCGGATACACTAAATTTTTTGAGTTGTGGGTTTTAGTGGATGCTGAGAAACATGAATGGTCGAAGCATGTATTGCAGCAGAGGAAAAGTTAAGACTTTGTTGGATTGGCTGGTACAGAGGAAATCGTGTTGTCGCGGTGCTATCTATCCCAATTCCCAGCCTGTCGCTTTCTATGTGTACTACTACAAAATCGAGAGCAATACAGTCTGAAGAGTTGAAATCCAAGAAATGGATGCGATTACTTTTTGTAGAGTTCGCATCTCTCTAAACTATGTAGAGGACGTGAAGCCTCTGCGATATGTTTAGGAATTTATCACTCCAGATTATCATAGGATCTTAATTCTCCTTATGCTAGTAGATGACTATTTTCTGTGTGATGGTGTTCATCTTTCCTGGAGACTGTATCAAACCCTGTGTTTACAGTTAACAGTAAGCAAAAGGAGGAATAGCTAGCTGTTCTAAGTTAAGTTTTAGCCTTTTGAAGTCCTCTCTTCATGAGTAAGCCACTTTGTGAGTTATGTGTTTACGAGTTCTATGTTAATCATCTTAGAACTACGTTGTCTCTACAATAGGGCCGAAGAGCCTATGTTTAACCTCAGATAAATCAATTGTGCCTCTCCATCTCTGTATTTTGTATTTTGTTTGTACTTTAATTAAGAGAACTGAAGTCACTTTTCTTTAGTATGTTGCCATCAAAATATGGAAACGCAAAATATTGTAATAATTTAGATATGAATTATGAAAAATGTATATCAAAACAAAAATCTCTTTGAAAAATCTATTCTATTAAAACAGAAACACTTTTTGTATCTAAATATGATTTTCTTCATTTTAGGCTATTTTGTTTTTTGATAATTATTATTCCTAATGCTCTATTATTTCTATTGACAAACAAGTTAATTTAATATAATCTTAATAAATATTGTATTTTTATTTAAATTTAAAAATAATTTCGACAATTCATATTTTAATTTAGGCTAGTTTTCAATAAATATAATTTAGATTAGTTATTAAAATCATATAATTAGTTGTTATTATATATAGTTTTACAAAAACAATAAATAAGACATTAGTTTTGGTTTAATTTAAATATTTAAATTTAAATAATATTTTTATAATAACAGATGATAAAGTAATATAAATAGGTGGGTGAAAATTATTTTTTTATTATCATGGTTTCAGATTAATAAAACGGATGGGTTAAAATTATATTTTTATAATTGTGGTCATATTTAATATTAGAAACAAAATTTAAAAAAAAATTAAATCTAAACATAAAAATAAATTTCACTTAAAATTATATTTATAAAAAAAACATAAATTACATTATAAATTTTGAATAAAAACAAATAATCTATGTAAGGGTGCACGGAGTAAAATCTAGTAAACCATAAAATAATCAATTTACTCAAAACAGGTATACAAAAACATCTGCGTTTGGCATCACAAAAAAGGAATGAATATGAATGCACACGTACGGTCTTAAGAATCTATGAAATACGGCCTTAACTAAGAATTTATGAAGTGATCATCATGTGTCACGATTATGATATTTGATAATTATGGGACTCACATATTTTAAACTGTATTATATATGAATTGAAGGGATCAGAGTATGAAATGAAATTGAATGATGGTTAAATATACGAATTGTATAAGTTGGGAAATTATTGTTTGGTGATTGATGATGCATAATTTTTATGCATGTGTAACTAAAATGTAATGGTTTCGTAAATAGTTCAACTATTTGGTCCCAAACATAAAATCAACTAAAAGGGGTGGTAGCCAGTTATATGATAAAAGGCAACGATGACTTGTAGAGCAAAGCTAAATCTTGAAAAGATTGATATTGTTTTTTTGGTAAACTAAAAGGATTGATATGTTGATAGGTTAATGGATAAATACTTCGTATGGAACCGAAATTCATACGATACGATGGAATCGCATCAAACACACAATATACCATTTATATATGCACCTTATAAAGTGTTTGAGATTTGAATGTTTGATTGGTCCTAAGTGCTGATGTGAGATGTATTTAACCCCAGTTAAACTTTTTTGCAGATAAAGTAATGTAATGCATCAAAATGTTAGACTATATGGTAAATGAGCAACCTATAGCAGAGAACCTTTAGGTTAAACGTGTTAAAAGCTTTTGGATGAGGAATTGATAACCATGAGTTATGCCATCATTTTATATTGTAGATTCGAAGACACAAAGGAATGAGATCGCAGCCTAAAGCTCAGTACTACAAATACCAACGTATAGTTTTCGTTATCAGGAATGTAATAGAAGTGACAAGTGATCGGTTTAGTTTTTCTGGCTAAGGAAGAATGCTCAATCGCCTTGTGTATTAAAACTTGAAAGATAAGTTATGAATTCAAGAGGAACTAGAATTTGGTAAAGTGATGAGATGTTAGTGACTAGAAAGTTTAATTATAAAAAGTTAATTGAGTTATGGCAAAGTACATTGCCGTTTGTTGTGTTGTATAATCACAATGATTCTTTTGTTTGCTGTTGTTGTTAACTATATCCAATAAACTACTCAAATACGAGTGTTAAAGTGTTCAAACTGTGTTAGTTCGTGTATTAACGAGACTATAGTTTTGTTGATTTCGGAATTCCAAAACTTTGTGTATTTTCCAAAAGAAACTTAAAAAAAAGAACACCTCTAACCTCCCATATTTTAAACACCTAAAATAGTAAATACCCGTGGACAAGTATTTAGAATATGGAGCTAATCAATGTCATAATAAATCTAAAA